TAATGTCCACTACAGAGACCATGGGTCCTGCTTCATAGATTTGTTCCTTCTAACCTAAACTAACTGTAGATGTTTCCTATAAATTACTTACATCTAGAGACTTCAGCTAGTGTGTAGGACGTGGCTTTTTGACAGACAAGGACTTTGCTTCCGAGGATCATCCAGTTGGGTGTAGGATCTTATCTTCAACTGTAATTCATGAGGCTCTTTATATTAATGAGACAGAAAAAGGCAATACTTAACAAAAGTGTTTTAAAAGCAATCCCTAACTATTCTAGAACTTTGCTTGCAGTCAGAGCAGATGTCTCAGCCCACGGGTTTATAAAACTTTTTATATATATATATTACAAATTTGCTTCCTGAAATTTCTTATCCATGTAGGCTTTTGTCAAAAAGAGACTTTTTGTCAAAATGTAAAACAAACAAACAAAACAAGAATTGCTTTTAAAAAATAGTTCTTCACCAATTTTAGCGGGTATTTGTGCTTGTTAACTATATACACGTAGTTCAACTAAAGGTAATCTTGGAATTCTACCCTAATTTAATGCTATCACAAAGAAAACAGTTTTGTAAATAGAGTTTTGGGTTTTATTTTTTTAAAGATGTCAGAATGTTTTAGATAGGCTGGCATGATACCATGTTCTTTAGGTTACGACATTTAAAGCTTCTTGGGCTCTGTAGAGTGAAATGGACAATATGGCTATGTTTTGGAAAACCAGTTACAATTTTTCAAATCTTCTCAGTAATTGAGGAAGAATTCACTTTATGTTAACAATCAACTGGCCTCAGCCAACATGCTATCTATCCTTCAACATTCATGGCTGCATCCATCACCTCCTGCCGAGAAACAAATCATCAGCAGTTTACTGAGACCATGATTCTGTGGGTAGGCAGGGCCCAGCTGGGTGGTTCTTCTGACCTCAGCTAGACCCTTACAGGGTCTGAGCTTCCTGGTCGATGCCACTGAACTCTGTCACAACTCTGCTTCAGTTGGGCCAACCGTGCTCACTGGGCTCTGATCCACAGGGTTCATCCATACACAGGCTATTTCTGGCTTGCTCACCCGCTAGAGGTGGAGTTCCCAAGACAAAGAATACAAGTGCAAGACCTCTTGAGTCCAAAGTTCAGTGTTGGCACATGCTCACTTCTGCAGCAATCTCTGGCCAAAGCAAGGCCCAAGGCCATTCTAGTGATTTTATTTTTATAAGATTTTATTTATTTATTCATGAGAGACACAGAGAGAGAGAGAGGCAGAGACACAGGCAGAGGGAGAAGCAGGCTCTATGCGGGGAGCCCGACATGGGACTCGATCCCGGGTCTCCAGGATCAGGCCCTGGGCTGAAGGTGGCGTTAAACCACTGAGCCACCTGGGCTGCCCCATTCTAGTGATTCAACCTCTTGATGGGAGATGCTGTAAAGTCTCACTGAAAACAGAGTGGATCTGAGGAAGAAAGATTGTGGCCTAATTTCCATCTACTACAGCACCTCTGAGTTATTTAAGTATGGCTCCTACCAAAAAGCCTGAGGCTAGCTAAATCTAGACTTATCCCCTGGGTAGTGTCCTCTCTCATTTCTAGAACCTCTTAGCTTTCTCCATTTATACACAGGCATCTTGTACTGCACCCTGCTAGTGCTAGATGGGAGAGCGAAACCCGTCCATGTGTGCCATCTTTTTCTGTTCTACAAGCGCCAGGTTCTGCATGTAGTAGCTTCCAAATAAATAAAATAAATGTTTACGACTATTTACTACTACTTTTTATATACTTCATCACAGTCAACATCGATACTACAAATGTTTTTATTTTCTAAAATATTAAAGACTTTCAGTGTAAATGACATCACAAAAGTTCATGGTTTGTTGTTTTGTTTTAGAGAGAGGGAGGGTGTGTGTGTGGGGGGGGAGGGACAGAGCAAAATGGGGAGAGAGAATCTTTAGCAGGCTCCATGTCCAGTGAGGAGCCCAACATGGGGGTCAATCTCATGACCCTAAGATCATGACCTGAGCCAAAATCAAGTCAGATGCTTCACTGACTGAGCTACCCCAAAAGTTCACGATCTGAAGTCAAATATCCTAAAGATGCAATTCATTGTTCCGAAAATTAATTCTTGAACAAACTATACTGCCTTACAAATATACTTAGCTTCCAAAAATATCATAAGCAGTGAATACATGATCAAAATTTAAACTTAATACCCTGTCTCAAGATCATTCAGGAAACATTTACACAGTAGTTGACAAATCAAGTTCTCCATCTATTTCTAGATTTGCTTTTTGTTTTTACAGTTGATGAGTTCAACAGACTTCCTCATACATTCAATATAAGATACCACCTTAGAGGATTTGGAGTTACTTCCTATGAACCTGGTTTATAGCTGATGCCAAATTTTGTTGGAAAGCTCCATTTGTTTTTCTATAATCCAATACTTATCATTAGTCACAATATAGTTTACATTAGCAGTCACCTTCTCCTGGGAGTTTTGCTCTTTTCCTGTTGACTCTATAAGCTTGTTCATCATCTCTAAAATGATCCCTTTGAATAACTGATCCCAATTGAATAACTTTTGTAAAGAAATAAAATATCAAATGCATTGCATAATATGCAGGCGGCAGGTTGAGGCAAGTACAATTATCCCAACCAACCAAATAATGTGTGAGGTACACATCTCCAGCCACAGAATGTATACGTGTATTAATACATGTTAATGTAAACAATATGGAAGTTGCTGTTTAGTAGCACAAAAATGAGGAAGTCACTTCTCAGGTCCATCTTAAATTGTATATAATCTAATATATACACATAAATGCACACAAATCTTGTTATTTAGTGACGGGATCGAGTAAGAGGAAGGTTGACAAATTCATATATAAGTGGAAAGATATCTAGCTCAAAGATATTTACCTCTTTGAGGTTCCCTGTGACAAATGTACACAAATAACATGTTCTAAGCAGATTATTTTGCCGTCCGTTTGTAGATAAGCAAGTAACCAGTTAATGGCTTTTAAACATTTTTTTTCTTTTTGTCATGTGACCATTTGTTCAAAATGGAATTTATGCTGTGCTCTAACTTATGAAAGGATAAAAGTAGGCATTTTAATAGAGAAGCTAAAAGAGTGAGTCTACAAAGAGTGAGTCTATAAACATCCAGGTGACGCATGACATTGTTTTATATTTTGAGTCGTAGAAGTGCAACAGCAGAAAAATATGTATTTGGGCAGACTCAATAGGACGTTACACTAGCATTTCTTGGACTGAACAACTGTGATCTGTTACTATCATCACACACCATTCTCTTATTTTAAAAGCAAAAAAAATATGCATGCGGCCTTACCTATATAAGACTATAAATAAATCTTAAAAAAAAAGTTGTTTTTTTTTTAAGATTTATTCTTTTTTTAAGATTTATTTCTTTCTTTGAGAGACCGTGAGGAAGGGGAGGGGTAGACTCTCTGCTGAGTGCAGAGCCCAACACGGGGCTTGATCTCATGATCCTGAGACCACGACCAGAGCCGAAATCAAGGGTCGGCTGCTTAACTGACAGAGCCACCCAGGCGCCCCTTCACTACTTCTTAACTTTCAGATTCTACAGTTCAAGTCTAGTCAAAGTGAGACTGAAAAAATGGCTACTGTTGAGCAGAAATGAAATGCTGGGTATCACTGGTGGCACGTGGTGAATTCTAGAGAAGCAGATGAGATTCATTCTATTTAATCTTAGTTCATTTTTTAATTACTTGAAGGTCTTCTTATTGGTGCCATGGGCGTCTTGAGGAACAACATCTGCTTTTTCCTCAATACTTCTGATAGCTCCTCCTTCTCTCAGGTGACTTGGAACAATGGTTTACAGGTAGTAGAACATTCTAAACCCCATGTTGCTCAGACAGACACAGGGCGGCCGATGATGTGAACAGAGGGTAGATGAACCCCTGATTTGTAAAGATAACTGAAGAATTATTGGCACAAAATACTGACCCCATTTAACAAAACAAAGCAAAAGAGGAATGAAGAAATTTGACGCGAGTGTTTATGCCTACATCTATTTATTAAAGTCGGTCAAATTTATGATAGCAATATTTTAATTGTGCCATATTTCTTCTCTGACGCTGTGGTGGTGACTAATGAAGGGATTTGCATAATTAATCCAAGCCAAGCCAAATCAAACATTAGAGAAATAGAGGACTATTTTTCAAGGATGGGATGATTAGCCTTGCAGTGAGGATGAAGGTTAAGTCATTCCCTGTGTTAAGCTGCAAATTTCTTTTAGAAACACATTCCCACTTTAATCAATAGAAGAATAACGGAGGAGGGACTGGGCTTGGATTGAGCCAGAATTTGTCTTGGACCATATCAAAAGGGGATGGCATTTGGTGTTGAATGGCCAAACTCAGATGCTTTGAAGAGTTCACAAAATCATTTTGTTTGAGCAACGGTGGGATTGCTGCCGTCAGGGTTTTTTAAACCCAACTGTACCCAAGTTACGCATCTGCTGATGAACTGTAGTTTCAATGAGTTTCAGCTGCCAGGTTGTTACGAAAACCTGCCCCGTGGTCAGCGTGGACTCTGCTCTAAATGCTCTCATACGGTTATCTCACGCACCCATCAAACAATTCCATCGAGCAGACGACATAATCCAACTTAACAGATGAGGAAAACAAGGCCTAGTGCGTTTAATTAACCTTCTCACAAATAGTAGTAGAACCAGAGTTCAAATCTAGGTCTGTTCCGGGCTCTCCTGAAATCATGCTGCCTTTCAAAAAGTATGAAAAAATGAGGTAACAACCCCTTAATGGTTAATTTTATATTTCACATTGTTTTAAAAAAATATTTGATAACATAAATATGATGTCTACATACAACTTTCTACCTTTAAGTCCTTAACGACGCATATTAACTAACCCCTGTGCCCTCTTATCTTCTCCAGCACAAAATATGTTAATATTGAGAACTGAAAGATTTTAGAAATATTGCTTTCAAGTGACTTATTGATAGTTTAGTTGGTATTACCTTAGATAATTTTGCCTTGGATTCGGAATTATCTCTGGGAACAGAGTCTCTGATTAGCCGAGATCGGTCATAATTAGCATGTTCTGATTCATCCATGTAATCCTTATCTTTCCCTAGGGCTACAAAAGAGAAAGAGAAAATTATATCCACTTTTATCCTTCTGCCTTTTTGCTCTCTTTAAATGTACTAATCTCTCTTTTATTCATGCTTTCCCAAGGTTTAACCAAGTATAACTTTTCTCATGACCCATCCATCCAAAAAATAAGCAAAAAAAAAAAGGAAAAAAAGGCGGGGGGGAGGGGATAACATGAAAACTTCCCCGTTAGTGGATTAATACTGACACTACAGTAACTTTCATAAGAATCAAATACATCTCTGCTGTTTAATGGACTTAAACTTCTTTAAAACAAAATTAGAATCACGCAAACTCATCGTCTCTTTAGAACATGAAGATAAAGACATTACTTAGAACTCAATAGATTCCCAAGCATTAATTTGCTTAATTAAAATCTGTATTAACTTTGGGAATTTATTTTCTTAAAAGTTGGACAGTTTCCTAAATGCAAATTTGACCGAAGAGTGACAAGTCTGAGAACTCACATAAGCAATTCTAACAAACAGTATAAGAATTTTTTTTTATTTAATATTAGGGATTGTAAATGAAACTACAACTGCAAACAAGGAGAGAACACTGAAAATTAATTACCATTAGAATTATAAAAAGAGTAGGACCTTGTAAGAATATATGAACAATAAACAAGCTATAATCAACACAAGAAGCCTCTATGGTAGCTGTAGGTACAACCACGAACCGCTGACATATTTCACAAAACCTGTATTCCATATGATGGAAGTATGTCTTCAAATTCAAAAACAGCATCGTATATATTTAGCCTTTTCAAATAAGTGAAAATGCTTTGGAGAGTTATTTTATTCCATCTGTTGACACCTATCATAAATTTTGACATCAACAACTATGTACAATTCTTTAAAGATTTCAATCATTTAACTTAGTATTATAACACAAAAAATCATTTATGATATATGCACTAATAACTTTTATCAGTAATGCTTAAAACCTGCCATCACACATATTATGCCATGTGCAGCTACAGTATCAGAATCTTAGCAGTGGTAGGAATGAACTCTGGACACGTCATATTTTATCTTAGTATGTTATTAATTGTCAATTACATTAAAATGCTCTGAGCACCTAATATTCTCTTTAAAGATTTTATTTATTTATTCATGAGAGACACAGAGAGAGAGGCAGAGACACAGGCAGAGGGAGAAGTAGGTTCCCTGTGGAGGAGCCCAATGTGGGACTCGATCCCGGGACCCCCTGAGTCAAAGGCAGACGCTCAATGGCTGAGCCACCCAGGTACCCCTATGTTTACCTTTCTTATTGTTTTTCTTCAAATTATATAGAAGGATTCTTCTGTATGTAATAACAGCTTTCTTTTTTCCGTTTACTATTAGCGAGATTGCAAATTCCTGTTAATGTAATGTAAATTTATCTCTCCTGTCTTGTCTCTTAAAATGTTCCTACAGTGTTCCTGGGTTAGAAACAAGAAATCAATTAGATGCTTTTCCTGAATATAAAAATGTCTTAATGTAGTTTGTATTTTTTTTTGTTGTTGTTGTTGTTAAATAGGTATTTTTTTCTCACACTAACTTTATACACACTATTCCTGTAACCAATGTTTTTTTTTTCCTTTTTTTTCAGGTGGATAGCTAACAATTATTTAATTGTTATACGTATCAGGTATCCTTCATTCATTAAATAATATATTGAGCTAGTTCTACAGTGTTCCAGAGACTATTCTACTTTGAAGGTAGGAGGAAGCACAATGAACAAAAATCATCACCCTCATGAAGTTGATGGTGACAAAGAAAAGAACAAATGTAACTTTTATATATTAAATGATGATGTGGTTAATTAAAAAAAAAAAGAGGGCAGGGAGATTAACAGAGAGGGCTGCGATTTGCAATTCTAAATAAGATAGTTAAGGATGACCTCCCTTAAAGTAACCTGGAGCAAAGATGCCAAAATGGTGGGAAGAGCATCATAGGCAAAGGGTAAAGCAAGTGCAAAGGCCCTGAGGTGGGAACATGCCTTTCTTGTCTGATGACAGACAAATAGATTAGTGTGACTGGTGAGGAATGAACAAGAGTGAAGGTGGCAGGGTATCATGTTAAAGTAGCAATAGAGAAAGTAGGAGCATATCATGGAGGACTTGGGCCACTAGAATGATTTTGGTTTTCATCTTGAGTTAAAGAGTGCTATTGTGTGAATTTGAGCAGAGTGAATTTGAGCGGATTTTAACAAAATCAATCTGGGTGCTGACATGAAAATAGGCTGAAGGTGCCAAGGCCAGAGGCAAAGAAATCAGGTAGGAGTAATTGAAATAATGAGGTAGAGAGGTATGCTTTGGGTCAGGGTGGTATCGAGACTCAGGAATGGTCAACCTGAGGATGTATTTTTTAAGGGAAAACTAACAGAATTATATTGGATGTGACATTTAAAAGAGAAAAGTCAACGATAATTCCAATGTTTTTGGTCTGAGCACTGGGAAGGGTGTCATATTATTTTCACATATATTTTGATTAAATTGTTTAAAAGTACTGTTACTAGCCTTCCTTACCAGCAAGGAAATGTAGGCAGGTACCTAGGGTGTCACATTTGGTATGAGGCAGGACGAGAGCCCAGGAAATCTGGCCCTAAACCTTACATTCTTAGCTACTATTTAATATTGCCTCTTGTAGTATTGGAGGGATGATGATTTAGGAAACTTTGAAGCAATATAATATTAAGTTTTTAAAATATTTTATTTATTTATTCATGAGAGACAGAAAGAGAGAGAGAGAGAGAGAGAGAGAGAGAGAGAGGCAGAGACACAGGCAGAGGGAGAAGCAGGCCCCATGCAGGGAGCCCAACGTGGGACTCCATCCCAGGTCTCCAGGATCACGCCCTGGGCTGAAGGCGGTGCTAAACCGCTGAGCCAGCCAGGCTGCCCAATATTCAAAAATTAAAACAAAAACAACTGGGTCACGTAAATATTGCAATATATTTATTGAATGAAAAGGGATGGAATCTCTAATTATCAACATAGCTTTCTATCTTCCTTCAGCTGATGATGATGGAGATAAATATTAGCATCCCAACAGGTAAAGATAAAAATTGTCAACAGACAAGAAATAAAAAGTAAGGTAGATTTTATGAAAACTTACTTATTTTTATGTGGGTTAATATCTTCCATGGCCAAGAATTTAAAATTTAAAAGGTACTATTTTATGCTAGCACATGATTTTTCTTTGGCATCTTTCATTTCTAATAAGAATATCCATTGCCAACAAGACGTTAGAGAAATGATAATAGTCATTTGTTTTCTGTACCAATATAAATCAGCACATTTTTTGGAACACAGTGTGTTAATATGTTTTAAGAGCACACCTAGAGAGGGATCCTAAAGTCATCTAAAAGAAAAAAAAAAAGTTTCGTTCACAAGAATGTTCCCCAAGCCCATGGATAGAAACAATGAGAACTTTAATAAATAGCGACTCCATTCTTCCAGTTTACAGAGGCCAATATCCTGACTCCTCACTTTCTTTGACCTGATGTCTGATCCTTAAATAAATTTTGTTGACTGAGCACAAAATACTTTTTCTGCTTTGCTTTTACTTTCTAGCAGATCAGTTTCTAACATGCAATATGTTATTTTTATTTATTTATCCTCATTTATTACCTATTTCCCTCACCAAGGTATCTGTGGGTCAGTTTTTCGCTTTATTCATTTTTGTTGTCTTTTTTGTTCGCTGTTTTGTCCCTACCATCTAGAATAGGGTCTGACCTGTCTTTGCTATCCAGTAAAGATTTGTTGAATGCTTCCAAGGATTTAAACTCCTGTCTGACCTATCTTCAAATTACATCTAGAAACTGATCATTTATTAAAGTCATAGTTTCTTAATCCAAGCCACCACTATCTCTCGGTAGAAACCTGCAAGAGTCTCCTAATCAATCTTCCTGTTTCTGTTTTTTACTCCTACAACAGACCGAGTGGCCCTTTTAAAATTTACGTTAAATTACATTAAACTTCTACTCAGAACCTTCCAATACTTTGTAGCTCCAAGTAAAAGTCATATTTACATTATGGCACACTGGGCAAGCATCCTCAGGCCCCTTACTACCACTTCTCATCTCTGTCCTCTAACCTCACCCTCACTCCCTCCAGTCCAGCTGCACTAGGTTCCTTGGTGTGAAGTATGTTCTCACTGCAGAGCCCTTGCACTTGCTCCTTTCTCTGCCAGGGATGCTCAATCCCCGTTGCAGCCAGGGTTCTGTATCAGAGAGTCTTCCTCAACCACCATTTCTAAAATAGAACCTCCCATACTTCTCTGTCTCCTCAGAAGTTTTTATTACTTTTATTAGCACCTGACATAGAGTAACACGCACACACTCACACAAAACGTGCATGCGATATGTGTATGCATATATCAGCACTGGACACTAAGTTATAGCAGGGTATGGGCATATGTGTACATGTATATCATACAAATAAACACGTTGTCCATGCATATATTTGTGCTTTTATATAAGAAACAGAAAGAGCATCTATGTATCTATATGTACATATAACACAACTCAATAATGAAAAGACAACCCGGTTTAAAAAAGGGCTAAGGATCTGAATAGACATTTCTCCAATAAAGATGTACAGTGGCCAACAAACAGATGAAAAGATGCTCAACATCGTTATTTATCACGGACGTGTAAACCGAACCCAAGCCCACAATGAGACCACTTCACACCCACTTGGACGGCTATACTAGAAAAGATGGACAATAACAAGTGTTGGTGTGAATGTGGAGCTGTCAAGCCCTCAGAAACTGTGGATGGGAATGAAACATGCTGCGGGTGCTGGAGAAACCAATCTGGCAGTTCTTCCAAAGTTTTAACATAGTTTCCATATGATTCTCCACCCTACTCCCAGGTATGTATTCAAGAGAAATGAAAATATCAATTCACAAAATCTTATACACCAATGCTCATAGCAGCATTATTCGTAATAGCCAAAAACTATCCAAGTGTCCATCAACTGATGAATGGATAAATAACACA